GAACCTATCACCCAATGCTAATTTTGATATAGGTTCCAGAATTTTCCTGTGTGGTTACACAATTTTTCAAAAGCAAAATGAGATCGTTTTTCTATGCTACATATTTTTAATATTGTAGTTAGGTGTCATCTAGTCGGTTCTGACTCATAGCGACCCTGTGTACAACGGTGAAACACTGCCCGGTCCTGCACCATCCTCACAATTGTTATGTTTGAGCCCATTGTTGCTGCCACTGAGTCAGTCCATCTTGTTTGGGGTCTTCCTCTTTTTCATTGACACTACACTTTTCTCAGCATGATGTCTTTCCCCAGGGAGTGTTCCCTCCTGACAATGTGTCCAAAATATAAGAGACAAAGTTTCACCATCCTCACTTCTACAGAGCATTCTGACTGTTCTTCCAGGACAGATTTGTTTGTTCTGGCAGTCTGTGGTACTTTCATTATGTCTCACCAACATAATTCAAATGCATAGATTCCTCTATGGGTTTCCTTATTCGTTACCCAATTTCTAACAATAGCACAGTATTCTTTGCCTTTTTCCCTTGATATATTTTATCAATAGTTTATTTCCTCATTATCATGTATCTTGGTGATGGTTGTGTACCTTTGAGTCAGGTTCCTATTCACAGCAACCACAGGGTTTGGGAGGCTGTAAATGTATGATCTTTTTAAAACTTCATTTTGCTAGTATTGGTCTTTGATATATACATATGTATGTATGTATGTGCTAGTGGTATGCCATGGAGTCGGTCCCAACTCATAGTGACCCTGTGTAAGGTTTCCGAGGCTGTAAATCTTTTATGTGAGCAGAGAGCCTTATCTTTCTCCCACACTGCTGACCTTGAAGTTAGCAGCCTGACTCGTAACCACTCCACTACCAGAACTTCAGCTGTAATACCATCACACAGCCATCCCAGGATAAACAGCAGACACCCTTGTCTCTTGTCAGAGAGTGTACTGTGTCACAGAAACAGCATCCTGCACACGCCCCTTATACTAGGTTGCCACCAAGGGAAATGGGATATAATGCTTGGTTTAGGCCAGCCTTAGTTCAGGACCTGGTATCTGGAGGAGAAGCCCAACTTTCTTAATGTATTATCTAAGCAAAATCAGCATTTCATAAGCTAAGGAAAAAGGGAAAGGACTATTAGGCAACCAATAGTGTCTGACTTAAAGTAACTTGGCAGTATGCATACAAGTCTAAAATCATGGCTGTGTTATATTTTAATATTTGTATTGTTGTTAGGTGCCATTGAGTCAGTACCAACTTACAGTGACCCTTTGCAAACAGAACGAAACACTGCCCGGTCCTGGGCCAACCTCACAATTGTTGCCATGCTTGAGCCCATTGATGTTGCCATTTTGTCAATGCATCATGATGGGAGTCTTCCTCTTTTTCTCTGACCCTGCACTTTACCAAACATGATATCCTTCTCCAGTGACTGGTCCCTCCTGACAATATGTCCAAAGTATGAGAGATGAAGTTTGGCCATCTTGGCCTCCTAGGTGCACTCTGGCTGCACTTCTTCCAACACAGATTTGTATTAGGAAAACAATCTCAAACCCTGTGCGTCTTAAACTGGTGAAGGACCAGAAAGACACCTCCCTCTGCAATTCATCAAAGACCAATACTATCAAAATGAAGTTTTAAAAAGATCATGCATTTTTTAAAGTATACAGAATTCAAACCCAAGTTTTTGTTATCAGATTCAAAGGCCATAAATTTGTCAACTTGCTACAAAAATGTCTATATGTCTGTACTTATCGTAGACCAGTAGCAACCAGTTATAAGATTAGCAGCAGTTCATGTCCACACTTGGAGAGGCACTTTTAAGCTAATTTCATAATCTGGCCCTAGCCTGCCTCTCCTGCCTCATGTCCTGTTGGTCTGATTCACCTGCCCCAAGCTGTTCTCCGTTGCCAGAGTATGCCATGTAGTTTTGTTCTGCTTCTAGGTTTGACTTCACCTTCTGTTCCCCCTTCCTGGATTACCCTCCCCTAGCTGGGGAACACCTAGTCGTCTTTTTAAGCCATTTAAATGTCACTTTCCTTGTGATGGCTTTCTTTGAATTATTTGTTCGCCCTCAGTGATTCCTTTGAATGCTGGGTATATTGTTTTCTTGGATTGCTGACAGGTTGGTCTCACCTGTTAGACCAGAAGGTCCTCGAAGGTTATAATTGTCTAGTTCATGTTTATATATCCTGGTGCACATAGTTTGTCCTGAATAAATACTGAATTCAATTGACTCAATAAATTGACTACTATGAGTCAGAGCCGACTCCACGGAACTTATAAGGAACTCTGGTAGCATAGTGATTATGAGTTGGGCTGCTAACCTCAAGGTCAACAGTTCGAAACTACCAGTGAGCAGTTACGCGGAAGAAAGATGAGGCTTTCTGCTACCTTTCTGTCTGTCTAGCTGGTGTATCAGCTTTCTGGTTCTGCCCTTCCTTCTGCAATACCACATCTCTTTAAACATAACTCAGTTCTTGTGCTTCACTCTGAATCGTCATTGTTTGTTGGGCTTGAACAATGACGGAAAGCTTCTCAAGGGCAGGAACAGTTTTATGTTTGATTTCCAAGTGCTTGCTTGGGAAACAGTAAATATTTGCTCTACTGAGTTGAAAACTTCTCAGCATATTGGAAATTTTCCAGCGTCTCTGGTTAATTTTAACCAGTGTCTCTGGTTATAGCGATATAGCTAAATTCCCTATGGATTCTACTGCTAGAACAGTTTTGAGAGGGTGCCAGGTGCCCATCTAAGCCACAGGGGCAATGGGCATAATAGCAGTTAGTGCTATTTGGGCAGCAAGGAAGAAGTATCACGGAGCCATGTAGAAGCTAGAGAGTCCTATTTCTCAGTATAATGTATCTTGGCAGTCCAAAGTAGTTTCCCAGGTACACCCAGAAGATCTCTGGAGACAAGTAGACTTTATGGAGGGAGTCAGAGTTGGGAGTATATTTCCACTTACTGTGCCACCCACAGAAACAACCCTGACAGACCTGGATTCAACTTCTGGTTCTGCCACTTATTACCTGTGGGATCTTGTGATCTCTGAGTCCTTGGTTCTTATAGATTTAGAAGGAGGATAATGTTTATTTTGGAAGGTTGTTGGGATGACTAAATATAGAGTCATCCCTTGGTATCCATAGGATATCCAGGATGCCTGAAAATACAAAAATCCATGGATGGTTAAATTCCTTATGTACAATGGCATAGTATTTGTAGACAACCCATGCAAATCCTCCCAGATGTTTACAATCATCTCTAAATTACTTAAAATACTTAATCCAATGTAAATGCTATGCAAATAGCACTTTTCACTTCCTCTTAGCTTTTAAGGGACTGCTTGGGTGATTTTAGAGCTTCTACCTCCCTGAATATTTTAGCACCCTGGTAGGTTGAACCCATGGATGTGAAACCCACTGACACAGACTGCCAACCATATATGCAGAGTGCCACTTCCAGATCTGTATACTTAGTAGATGCTTAATGTGTGGTGGTGGTTGTTGTTAGGTGCCATCAAGTCGATACCGACTCATAGCGACTCTATGCACAACAGAATGAAACACTGCCTGGTCCTGGGCCAACCTCACAGCTGTTGCCATCCTTGAGCCCATTGATGCTGCCACTTTGCCAATCCATCTCGCTGGGGGTCTTCCTCTTTTACTCTGACCCTCCACCTTACCAAACATGATATCCTTTTCCAGTGACTGGTCTCTACTGACAATGTGTCTGAAGTATGAGAGTCGAAGTTTGGTCATCCTGGCCTCCAAGAAGCAATATGGGTTGGGTTGGGTGATGATCTGGGCAACCTATATTCATTGTATTAACTATTACTGGATCCAGATATAAGGACCATGATGGTACAATAGTTAAGCACTTGGCTGCTCTCTGAGAGGTTGGTAGTTTGAACTCATCAGCCCCTCTGTGGCAGAAAAGACCTGGTGATCTCCCATAAAGACTATAGCCTTGAAAACTCTATGTGGCAGTTGTATGTACTTAGTTACATAGAATTAATTCCAGTATACCTAACAACAACAACACAACAGAACCAGATATATGCAGGACAAAGTCAGTCTAGAATTTTAAAAGTTTCTTTGCATAGCTACTTTTGTATAAACATAAATGCCTAATGATATTTACAATGTGACTCAACAAGGCTTTAAAGGGAGTTTCCAGTTTTCACTGGTAGGATTTTTTTCTGATGAGAGTCTCGTATTTTTCTAATTTGCTGTGCCCTCCTACCTCAAAAAGCCTCCTGACTGTCCTATAGGAGTTCTGGACAGTGGCCTGCCTGAGGTGATGAGTTATTTACTTTCTTTTCCTTTGTCCCTTTCCTGTCTGCTTCTCTTGCCCAAGTCTTATCTTGTCCTGTCCAGAGGTATGTCAAGTACTCTGCCCGCTTGCCTGTGTGCCTGGCCTGTTTTTTCTCACTGCCAATACCTCGTGGATTCCAATTCCAAACATGGTATCCATCTGGGGTCACCCTTCCTTCCGGTGCCAAGAGACACACATTCCAAATGGAACACAAGTGTGCCTCCTGCGCTGGACTCGCTTCATTCGGCTTGAGGACAACAGAGAGCAGGATGTGGTCACTTCATCCCATGCTCCACTGAAGTCTTCAGTCCCACGGTCTACCTTTTCATGGGGAATTTTAGTTTTTCTGCTAAGAGCTAACGCTGAAGACTGTCCCAAGAAGTCTAGAGCCAAGAAGGGCCGCCAGAACTCTGTGGGGAGAAGCAGAGCTTTGCTGAGGCAGAAAGAGAAACCTAGAAATAAACAGAGCACGAGAGAGGAGCTTTAAAGTTCTCCATGAAGTGTACCATGCTCTGCCATTCAGTCCCAAAGTCACCGGAAGCATTCCTCCCTGGAAAGCAGGAGTTGGTATTGAGAAGCCGGGGGTGAGAAGACACCTGGGAAGACATTCAACTTGTTTTCTGAGTATCCCCTCTGCAGACAGTTTTAGAGCTCAGCAAGACTTTGAATCTGCCAGGAGATGAGCGAGGGTAGCAGCAGAGTGGGCCAGCTCCTCTGGCAGAGGCCAGTGTGCCTTAACTGGAGGCAAGAGATGGAAGGGGCACTCTACCATATGGCCAACTGCTTCTTGCTCCTGGGCTTCATGGGGGGCAGCGGGGTATATGGTTGCTTCTACCTCTTTGGATTCTTGGGCACAGGCTATCTGTGCTATGTGCTGTGGGGTTGGTTCAATGCCTGCGGCCTGGACATCGTCCTGGGTTGCTCCTTGCTGGCGGTGGCCTGTCTATTCCAGCTAGTGCACCTGGTATACCGCCTACGCAAGGACACCCTCCCTGTGGAGTTCACTATCCTCTACAAGACACTGTGCCAGCCCCTGCAGGTGCCCCTGCAGGCATACAAGGAGATAGTCCACTGCTGCGAGGAGCAGGTCTTGGCCCTGGCCACTGAGCAGACCTATGCTGTGGAGGGTGAGACACCTATCAACCGCCTGTCCTTGTTGATTGCTGGCCGGTAAGCTTTCCATTTCATGTCCCCTTCCATTGAGAGAAGGATGTGGCAAGTGCAAGCAGACAAAATGGATTTTTCTAAGTGTGGGCATATTTCCTCTTAGCATTTTCCAAGATGAAACCAAATCATGAGGCATCTTCTTAGTTGGTAAGGATTTATGGGTATACCTGCTGCTGGGAGGTGTTGGGTGAGTGTTTCTAGAGCCCTGGTGTGAAATGACCACCCCCACACCCCCCTACACACCCACCCCTATGAGTGTGCTATGACTAAGCTTCAGCAGTATTTCTGTCTTTTAGGGAATGCTTCTGGAAAAGTGAACACTTCTATAAGATTAATTTGTTGTTTTCATTTATGTTCAATAAACATTTTCTGGCTGCCAACTATGTGTAAGGAAAAATTCTAGAGATAGAGGGTTCTCCCTGACACCTGTTTTCTGTGAGGGCATCTAGGAAGCAGCCTCATTGTTCTAGGGAGAGCCTGGACAGACTCTGCATGGCCCAGCCATTCTATATCCAGACAGTTGTGTCATGGAAATAGTTCTCTTAGCCACTTTTCCATTTCTGGTGTCCCATTGAGATTCTTGTGGTCAACAGGAGTCAACTGCTGTCTATCTGAGAGGTAGTGAGAGAAGAGTGGCGCCCACACTTGTTGAGGATTCAGTGGAGACACCCTGACACCCTTTCAGAGAAGGCTGACCAACATTGGCAGAAGTGGTCTTAGGATCGGTGCGTGGTGAATTAACCTGGATATGAGAGTTGGCTATTTGTCAATGTCTCCTGAGCAAACCCCGTGGGCCCTGTCCTGCATACCTGATGGGGAACTGGGCTTCTGTGACATATTGCCCTACTTGGACTTGTATGTAGGTCTTAGCATCAAACTATAAGGAACTTAATCAGGATATCCACGAGTTGGTTTGCATAAAGGAAGTAAAGCATTTCTAATGCTCTGTTCTCAATCTACCCCCCTCCCTCCAGGCTCCACTTTGTTTTATCTTTCTTACAACCAGGACACTGTGGTAGAAAAGGTAACTAGTAATCAGAAAGCTCTGATTTCAAGAAAAAATGAAACCAGTTAAGACTGACAGCCAAAACCCCTAAACAACCTCATTATCATTGAGTCTATCCTGACTCATGGCTACCCTATAAGTCAGAGGAGAACTGCCACCTAGGGTTTCCAAGTCTTAACTGAATTGCTAACCATAGGTCAGTGGGTCAAACCAACCAGTCGTTCCTCAGAAACCCTATACAGGGTTGTTATGTGTTGGAACTGGCACTTAACAATAATCTTTACAAAAGCAAACTGACACATCTTTCTCCTACAGAGCAGCTGGTGGGTTCGAACTGCCAATCTTTTGGTTAGGAGCTTACTGCTTAACCACTGCACCATCAATCACACAAGGGAATATGCCAAACTTGACAAACATAGTAATGATGCTACTGCAATTAATATTAATTAAAATGTCTATTAATATTAATAATAAACTTTATGTATCAAGTAGCATATTCCAAATATATATACTTATGGCCCTCAAAAAGTTTGTGGAAAAATTCCATTATCTTTTCATTCTATTTTTCCATGAACTTTTTGAAGCTCCCTTGTATGATAAGTATGTTTTACTTTTATTTGGTTGAGTGAGCTATATGAAGTTGTGCTAGGAGATATTTCATTGATGAGTGAACTGGAAGATATAAACAAATGCAGTTGTTTGTAACCCAATACAATTGTAAATACAAGAATGTCAGTGTGACTATTGCTAAAATATTTCCCATCTACAAATCCATGCTTAAAATAAGGACAGTGTAGGGGACTTGCTCATTCATGATATCTGTGATGTTATTTGCTCCTCATAGCTCCTTTGTCAAAGAGGGAATTGGGGCGGGCAGGAGAAGTGCCCTGTATGGGTGCTCATATGTTCTAACCATATTATGGCTCTTGTCTGATCTAGTATCATTGTTTGATGGATTTACTGTGGACTCGTATAAGACCGCTTCCCTGTGACGGCGTGAGAAAAGCTTGCCCCGCAGTGTGGCTTTTCCTAGTATACTTAGCATTCAAAATCTGAGTCAAAAATTAGACAATTAAACAACAACAACAAAAAAACTTACTGTGAATTGAATGAAGGTTTATAGACCAAGATTATCCATTTTACATTCAACAAATCATACACATTGTTTCATGTTAATGATTGCAATCCCCTCCATACAACAACAGTTGTCCTACTTCTTCCCTGTGTTACCCAGGTACGAATACACTCTTTCAAATTCTTATGTATTTGTGGAATATATAATATATATGGATATGGAGTCTGGTGTGGCACTGGACTGTAAAGTTGGTTTGATTGCAAGGTCAGTGGTTCAAGCTCACTAGCCGCTCCTCAAAATTGACTCGACGGCACTTAACTATATATATTAAATATATAGATATATATACCATATATATTAATATATAGATATATATATATACCATATATATTAAAATATATAGATATATCACCATATATATAGATATATATACCTCCCATACCCATTCAGCCTGTGTCTCTGTCCATGTGTCTACACACAGAACCCTGTTGCTCCACGCTTGTGATTCTATCACTATTTACTTCCATCCCCTTTAGTCCTTGCATTCCTCCCTGTGTCTTCACCAATCTTTATTATTTTTCTGCCTACCTCTCTCTTCTTGTAGATTGCCCTTCTTGTCACTCAAGTTAACATGTATGTGTCTACCCTCTAGTCAGTGAATTATTCTCCCTTCCCTCCCATTCTGGTAACCATACAAAGATGTTTCTTATAGTATGAAAAGCTTTTCTTGAGTTTTTACAATAGTGGTCTCATACAATATTTGTCATTTTGTGATTGACTAATTTCACTCAGCATAATGTCCTCCGGGTTCATCCATGTTAAGAGGTGTTTCACAGATTCATCATTATTCTTCAGGTTGCATAGTATTCCATTGTGTGTATGTACCAAGGTTTGTTTAGTCACACTTTCATTGATGGGCATTTAGGCTGTCTCCATCTTTTTGCTATTGTGAATAGTGCTGTGATGAACATCAGTGTGCATCTATCTACTCGTGTCTTGGTTCTTATTTCTTGTGGAGATATTCCAAGTAGAGGGATTGATGGGTCATAAGGTATTTCTATTTCCAACTTTCCAAGGATGTGCCATAGTGTTTTCCACAGTGGTTGAACCATTTTACAGTCCTACCAGCAATGTAAGAGAGTCCCAGACTCTCCACACTCTTGCCAGTATTTGTAGTTTTCTGTTTTTTTGGACTTTGGTATTAATGTTGGTGTGAGATAATTATTTCAGTGTTGTTCTGTTTTGCATCTCTGTAATAGCTAATGAATGTTTTCTCATGTTTGCTGACTGCCGGAATGTCCTCATTGGTGAAGTGTCTATTCATGTCCTGTGTCCACTTTTTAATTGTTGTTGTTGTTAAGTGCTGTCGAGTTGATTCCGACCCACAACAACCCTGTATAGGGTTTCCAAGGAGAAGCTGGTGAGCTTCAGCCACTGATCTTATAGTTCAAATGCCTTTGCAGCCTGATGCATTAGCCCAAAGCACCACACAAGGACTCCAATTTTTAATTGGGTTGTTTGAAATTAGATAACTTTGATGTGTTTCCTTGTTGTTTGTTTGTTTGTTTTAAGGTTTAGAGGAAGAGGTTCATGCTGTTTTGTTATTTTTTAATGCTAGCCTGTCTCGACTTTGCTAAATTGGAGGTGGGGAAAGAGGCTTCTAGACTCTTAACAGTCTCTAGTTTTAAAGGAGAATTATTATACCTGGGACTGGTTACAGTGAGGAAACCAATACCTCAAAGTAGCAGAAAAAGACCCTGTGCCAGGAAGTGGGGAACTCTTGTGCTGGCCTCCCCTGTCTCATGTGCTGACCCATCTGGAGTCCTCTGCTCCAAATTCAAAAGTTTTGAATGTATTTGCTTTATTTTAATAAGGGCAACCAGTCCCTTTCAAGAGTCAGAAAGGTGATGTGACTTGATCGATGTTTACTTCACTGTTTAGCTGTGGAGTTTTATATGGAGAGTTTATATGAAGAGTTTCTCTCATATAAAATTCAAAGCACAAAATTCCACACGGACAAGCTCCTGAGTAGGCAGCATGCTGTCTAAGTCTGTCGTGTAGGAGGAAGTTACCTGTTCTTCAGGAGATCCAGAAGGAAGAGAAGACTTAAATAATAAAGACACCATATACCAATTTCAATGATTTCGGTGAGCCATGTGGGCTCATTAAATGTCCCTCACATTCTTCAGATGTTATGACTCCTTGCTGGCTTGCTTAGATGGTCAGATTCCTTGCCTGAGGGGATAACATGAGCATTCAAAATATGCTACATCAGCTTCATTGCTTCTCTTTTCTTAGAGAAACATTTCCTGGAGATTTTGGTCCCCTTCTATAGTGCCACAAGTTCCTTTCTTAGCTCTTCTCTTTCTTTCTCCCTCCTTTCTTGTGTTTCTTATTTTTTTATTCCTTCCTTTCTCCCTTCTTTCTTTCTCCCATCCTTTTCTCCCTCCCTTTCTTCCTTCTTTCCTTCTACAGATGTTTATTAAAACTATCATGATAGGGGCTAGGCAATCCAAAATTAAATAAAAACATATCTTTACTTTCATGGAGCTTGAAATCTATCAAGAATGTCAGGAATTAAGGTCTGGAATAGATGTTAATAATGGACAAAATACTTCCAGGGAGAGATGCAGAGTGAGATAAAAGCATGCAACTGATGATTTAACTCTTCTGGGGAAGTCAGATATACTTCCTGGAAGAAAGAATGTTTAAGTTGTGATCTGAGGAGGTGATGGGGAGAGGTAAGAAGTCCAACTGGAAGGGACAGAATATATGAAGACCCTACAGCAGGAAAACATGATGCTTTACTTTCTCTTATATACTTTCATTACTCAGTGAAGTATATATACCTGACAGTTTATATACCTGGCCTTAAGGGAACAAGTGTTTTTCTGTCATCAGAAGCTATGAGCATATCTTAGA